TTATTAATTAAAAAAGTTTGAGGTTATTAGATTGTTCTCGCATTCTCGTAAATCACAGGGGTTCTCGTTTGAACCTCCACCTATATATATATATATATATATATATATATACATACTTGGGATCATGTGAGACCAGCCTGTTTTCGTGAGACCCGTGAGACCGATATTTTACACTTGAAACTTCACAGCAAAATGCTGTGAAGGTGACTTTTTAAAACCTTCACAGTGTTTTTGTTGTTAAGTTTACGTGTAAAAATGCGGTCTCACGGGTCTCACGAAAACAGGTTGGTCTTACGTGAACCATATATATATATATATATATATATATATATATATATAAAAAATAACTAAAAGATGATATAATTGTTACTGCAGTATTTATTATTATGTTATATTTTAACTATTATTTATACCATATATTCTAAAAATGGTAATCTTTATTAATAACCTATAATTAAAAAATATATTATTAGTTGATTTTCAATTTTATGATTTTATAAACATAGCTTTTATTTTTTGTAATTTTTAATTTATTATGACTTCTATTATTGTAATTTTAAATTATAATAAGTATTTTTTTATTATTGTAGTTTTTTATTATATAAACGATAGGACAATTAGTTCATAACTGGAGGTGAAAGGCACGAGTACGAGATACTCTTAGTTACTTATTTTAAAACAAAAACCATATGCAAATTTTGAATAAAGTCATAGAGATTAAGAATGTAACTTACTCTAAATATAAGTTGTGTACCCACGTAATGCGACGGGATGTAAATTGAAGAGGAAAATTTACCACAACGTAGTAGCTTATCAAATTTAAAATGAAAATGCAATTCCACCAACTAAAATTGAAAGTGAAGAAAGGTCTTTACATTTTCTCAAGGACAATGGTCGTAGTATTCAAGGAACACAATCTACAATGCTTACCATCTTTGAGAAAGAAGACTTGTTACTAATCAAGTGACACAATTGAGATGACACATATAACTGAAAAGGGTCATATGACGCTTCATAGCAGCGATTGATACAAAATATCAAAGTAACAAGGATCGATATAATTTGTGCGCCCTCGCAATGCGGCAGGATGCAAAATTCGTCTAGATGTAAGAAAAAGGCACGTAAAATCCCTTTTTTTTTTAAAATCAAAGTGAAAATGTACCTTGAATTTCTGCTCCGCCTTCATTCCGAAAGCCAAAGTGGTAGATAACAGATTTATGTTCATATACGTTGTAAGTTTGGTAGATAACAGATTTATGGAAAATCAAGACAAAGTGAACCGAGAAGGAATTACAAACCATTGAATTATACAGATAACAATGAATCAACTAGAAGGCAAGAACTTACTTTTGGGGTGAGAAAAACTTCGGGCTCCATAAAGGAAGGAGAATAGATGTCAGCATGTAGAGGGATATAACAAAAAGGCTCGGTTGTCAACAATTTTATTGTCAATAATTGAAGAACACATATCCAAATGGGGTGCTACAGGAAGCATATATCATATTCTAAGAAGAAATAATAGTTGTTGTTATCTTAAGCGTTTTATCGAACAATTTATATACATTAAACCTGGACAAAATCGTACAATAAAGAAACAACAAAGATAGACCAAACATGACTGAAAGCAATATGTAATATCTTACGATTTGTAAGCAAGAAAAAGGTTGTTCGATTGATGAAATCAGTTACATCCAAAGGCTTTGGAAGCAACAACATTCACCTCCTTCCCGTTCCTAATCAAAGGTTTGAAAGGAAACGTTGTAGATCAGACATTCAAAATAGGTGAGTAGCAGAGAAGAAGAGAAGGAATCACCATATTAACGATTATTTTTTAATCCAACAGCAGTCAGCATCATGAACTGAGAGAAATGTACGATTTCAAATTTTGAAATAAGGGGTCGTTTGCTAAACACTTACTTGGTAAGTGCTTACCGGATAAATTTCTTTATGGATGAACATGAGAAGGGCCAAGAATATTACTGGGTAAGAGCGATGAGAATGTTGGAGAGTCTTATCCGGTAAGTGAGGATGACGATTATTACCCAGGTAAGCGATTACTCAGTAAATTGTTGCATTCGATATGTTTTGATATACTAAAATCTTGCTCATCAGAATAAATCATAGTGTTGACTCCTATCGGTAAATGCTTACCGGGTAAGCAATTGGATAAACGGCCCCTAAGTCAATTGAATCAATTGGAAGCCAGGAATGTATTGAGCGGGATAAAACAATCTTGAAAATACAAATCGGTAGGTGGAAATGATGGGGGGAACGTGCAGCCGGCCTTGGGAAGGAGAAAGCTTAGTGAAGCATTGAGAAGTTGTAATTTATGTTTCTAGAATTTTAAAGTTAATGCTTAAAAGAGTTGTACTTGAAGTTCTATTGGTTGTTTTTAAGACTTTGTGTATCAAAAGATAATACCTTATGCATTTAATGTTGTTTTTAAGACTTTTTTTAAATCTGGTTTATAAGGTAGTATAGATATAGATAATAAGATATATTTTGTAAGAAAGAATATGATTCTCTAATGATGAAAATACTTAGGGAGGAATCTTTGAAACGCGGCAACATAACATTCATCCCCATTTCGTTTGTAAACAAATTTTGAATTTGAAAACCCACAAGACATACATACGCTTTCATATTCTTATTTTAATGAATCGATATTATAAACAAATCCCTCATCAATCTCTGAATCTCTACACGTGATTGCCCAAGATTTGCAATTCATCCATTGTCACCGCGCCTTTCTGCAAATTCAAACTCATTCTTCACTTACCGCCTAACCCTAATCGCCATTCATTCATGTTTTAGATAACTCAAGCTTGATGTTCATAATCTGAGCTTTATGTACCGTAATGGATTGTAGTGGAGAGAGATCTGAATTTAAGGTGAGTTTTGCAGAATTAGGTCAAGATTGAGTTGGCGTTTGTTTGCTATTCGTTTTAATTGCTATTAATTCTCTTTGTTAATTGGTTGGTGCAGAAGATGAATTATGAAGAATTTGAAGAAGAAAGAACAAAACCCTGCAATCTCGCATCCGAAGGTATTTCAGTTACCCTTTTCATTTGTTGCTAATCAACACTAATAAGTTGATTAGTTTGTTAACCATCAATTACATGTTTCTTGAACCAAAAAAAAAAAACAGTAAATCTTGAAAACTGTTCCTGTGAATAACTCCAAAAATTCTTGTGAATAGGGGAATTCACAAGCAACATTCCTTCAACTCTTGACCTCAATCCGAAATCCAACCATTTACAAGCCGCAAATGAGCCATGCTTCTTAGGGAAGACAAAAGAGACTGAACCCACAAATTCTTTTGGGAAACAAACAAGTTTCGGTCTTGATCTCAACTCACAAGATGTTTCAAGTTGCATTGATCATGACCCCTTTCACGATGCTTTATCTGAGTGTGGAAGCACTTGTGGCTCCGCCGGAGATAAAGACTCCATGAGAATTTGGAAGCAAATGAAACAAAATGGGTTCCTATCGTCATCTCATGGTGGTGTGTTGGTGCCACCAATGCCAAAACCCCGTGGGAGAAAAAAGGGAAACGCATCTGTGATCAAGAAAAAGATAGAGATGGCCAAGAGAGAACAAGTCAGCAGATTTGCAAAAGTTGCTGCTCCTAGCGGACTTCTGAACGAATTGAATCCTGGGATTATAAACCATGTGAGAAACAGAAGGCAGGTTCATTCTATAATCGAGAATCTTGTGAGATCTGCAAGAAACAAGAAGAAAAATAGCGAACACAAGCGTGATGATGGGACTGTAAATCATATGTCTAGAAGCTTTTGTTCGTCAGGTGGAGTTACTGGAGACGATGATTCAAGTTTGATGGATAGACAAGTGTTTGCTAGAAGTAAAACTAGTTATCATCCTGCGAACCCCAACAAAGAATGTGAGGATGATGGACTTGAGCTGAAACTTTCATCGGCTTCGACCATGGCATCAGAGAATATGAGCTCCTTGTCAAATGAGGAGCCATCAAATATCTCGACTGTTGATTCGCTTTCCATTAAAGGTCAGTTTTTGTAGCTTTTTTCTTATTTTTTTGCTAGAATATGAAATGGGTAACATAGAAACTTGAAGAAAGACTTCATGCTTGATTTTCAGGCAATTTCTTTTCATGGCATGTGATTATTTATGTATATGTGAAATTATTGTTTTTTTCAGCTGCAAGTGTAGCGTCTCAGTGGTTAGAACTTATTCACCAGGACATCAAAGGCCGTCTTGCAGGTAATGCTGCGCTTTGTTGAGATATATTTTTGATTAAAAGTCGAAAAGCAATTGCTCGGTAAATAAACACACTTGTTAATGCAGCATTAAGGCGTAGCAAGAAAAGGGTTCGAGCAGTAACTCAAACGGAGCTACCTTTCTTGATATCTTGTGATCAAGAAAACGATCCTTCTAACAGAGCAAACAACGATATGCATAAATTCAAATGGACAGCCCTTTTTCATCAGATGGATAAATCTCTTTCTGAAGAAGAGAAACATCTGGTGAGTCTTACGATGTTCGTTTTGCATTTCTTTGATTACTGCCAACTTCTTTCAATCTTCAAGGCGGGCATTTTTGACATTTCACAGGAAGACTCATTGAATCAAGTGAGGGAAATGTTATTGCATTGTGAACATGGTCTCCTTCAGTTTCCTCCACCAAATGGGGTTGCTGTACAAAGTAAACAAATGTAAGTTCTTAGTCATATTCATTTAAACCCGATGTTTTCTGAAGTCGTATACACAAAACGTAATATTATTTATGTTGATATGTAGATTTCAGAAAGCAGAACCGGTCCTAGACAAGGGTTTAGCAGTACGTGCGGCTGCTGCTGCTATTTATTCGACATCTAATTTTCTGCAATCTGCAGAAAACTTACCCTGTTTTTGATCTTTTTTGTCGAGTTAGCATAGTTACTGTAACAATTCTAACTTCAATTATACCTGCTGCATGCTAGGGCCCATGTCATTTATTTTGAATCTGGTTTCTTTAGTACATTTAGAAGCTGAATTTTTGTATCTGTACTGTTCAGCCTTTTGGTTTCTGTTAAGAACTTGTTCATGAAATCTTGTTAAGAGTTTGTAATAATAGCAACCATTGTCCTTGTGCCAATTCTGTTTCTGCTCATTTGTTTGATTTAGTATAGCTATTGCAAGTTCAAGAAAATTATATTTGATGCATAGTTTGGTACTTGGTAGGGATACTGGTTTTTATTGGATTACGGACTGTCATCAAGAACCAACTGATCTAACTTGAACGTTGAAATTTTGGATCCAATTACAAGTTAATATACAATTTTGGTTGGTCGGTTCTATTTACCCGTTAATCGAAAAGACTGTCCCTCCATGTGTAAAAAGGTGATTTTGGGGATCAGATTGTGGGTGTCAGGTGGTCTTAGGGGGACTCGAATTGGTAACCACTGAGGAGCTTTTTGGACCCGAAAACGAGATATATTGGCCGAACATCCTCCCATTTAGGGTAGGGAAGGCTCATGACACGATCAGAAAACCCAAGGTCTTCAGAGGTGGAGGTGGAGGTGGAGGTGGAGGTGGAGTACAAAAATTGTAATTAATAAACCGCTTAAAGTTTAAAAGTATTAGGGGCTGTTTACCACATGCTTACTGGTAAAATTCAACGCTATCACTTACTTACCAGGTAAGATTTTAGTCCACCAATACGGTAGCATATGCAACAATTTACCTGGTAATCAGTAATCGTGGTCAGAGTCGTCGCCATCACTTAGCGAGTAAGACTCTTGGTCTTTGTCTTCGCTCTTACCGGGTAAGATTCTTGGTTCTTAAGATATTTATTTGGTAAGGTAACGTGATTTAGTAAGCGCTTATGTAGGTAAATGTTTGGTAAATAGCCCTTACCAATATTACAAGTCGGTTGGCTTTGAAAAAAGCACAATCCTCTCTCTTGGAAAAGAAAACCCTCTCCGTTCGTGATCATAAAACCGTGTTCTGTTAATTCCTAATTTCATTCCGTCAATTGCTAGTTTTATCGATGGATTCCTAATTTCCTTCCGTTGATTACTAGTTTTATCGATGGATTCCCTCACGACATGAAATTCGAGATTCTTTCTCGATCATCATTAAAGACGTTTGATTCCATGAGTTGCAGCACCAGAGAATTTAACGAACTCGCGTCTGATCCTTTTTTGCTTGAACTACACGAGCAAAGAAATGAGGTTGAACATTGTTTTACCAATCTTGATTTTCTGCCATTTGATACTTACCTAAATGTTTACCCAATAAGTACTTACTATTAGGAGTCAACACTATAATTTATTTTACTGGGTAAGATTGTAGTACATCAAAATGCATCCTATGCAACAATTTACCTGGTAAATACTTACCCAGGTAAGAGGCGTCACCCTCACTTACCGGGTAAGACTCTTCATCCTTAATCGTTCTTACTGGGTAAAATTCTTGGCCCTTGCCATGTTCATCCGGTGAGAAAAATTATCTGGTAAGTACTTACCGAGTAAGCGTTTAGTATACGGCCCCTTAATTTCTTGTTGTCTCCGAGAAAACTAGAATCATGGTTTTTCGCGCCCGCATCCAAGCACCAGCACGTTTGCAAACTTGCAACCAACAAGATTCTGCCATCGTCATATCTAAATAACCAAGTACATAATGGAATGGAAAGGATTGCAATTGCAGTGATATGACAATGGCAGAACCTTGTTGGTTGCAGGTTTGCAAATGTGAACCCTCTCCTGCCGCTTGGATGTGGGCACCGGAAAACCATGATTTCAGTTTTCTCGGAGACAGCAAGAATTTGAGCATCAAATGGCCGACTCGAGCTCGAATAACTTTTTCATAGTAGGGCTCGATACTGGTTTACGGGCTCGGACTCAAGATCGACTAGCTAGCCTTTTTGCTCGACCTCAATAAATTTTATACTTACATTATATGACTTATGAACATGTTTCGCTTGAAAAAGTGTACACTCAAATGCCTAGTCAAACGTTGGTGTTACGGAGCTCAACTAGTTAAGTCAAACGAGTTTTAGTGTGCGTTCGAGATCGAGTCAAGGTAGACAATTATTAAGCTCAAACTCGAGATAAACGAGCTAGCTCGTTAGTCGTTAAGAGCTAGACTTGACTGGAGCTAACCAGGGGTTAAGAAGGTGAGTCAGAAAGGTGCTTGGCATGAACTTTGGACAAGCTTTCCCACGTCCCAAAAAAAAATAATTTCATACCATCATGAACTTTGACTTTCTTGAGTTCTTCTAAATTCAAATTTTGCAATTGAACAATCAATTTATTCGTTCTTGTTTCTGTTGAATGATCTTCATGAATATAATGTACAATTTACAATTAAGCTATCAGCTATGTACCTGAAATTCTCATCCATTTTCATCGTAATAACCAACAATCGTTCAATTGTGAAGAGGCACTTTTTCTAAAGCTATTAACCTTCATCAAGCAAAAATGGGTGCAAAAAGGTTCCATTCCTCCATTAACGCTGCATGTTTTCAGCAAATAACAGGCTGATTTACATCGATCTCTTCCTTTGAATTTACCTTGAATCAGTACTCCGAAGGCCTTAGTTCCGTCCTCTTGCTCGAATTCACCATTGGACAGAGCCGGGTCTATCTTCTCCTGGAGCTCCTCCACAAGTATGATCCCATCCGGAGACGACGGTCTCTCTCTAACCACATTCGGCCAGTCCTCCGCATCAACTGCCTTCTCCGTCTTCACTTCGCCATCGGCGTATATCTGGACCAGCAACGGTGCTTGTCTTATATTCTTCACGATTTCCGTCACTGAATTTCTCATCCATTCGTCGAACTTCTCCGAAACGCCAGGGTTATCATAAGTACGATCATATTCTTCGTCATTAACTATCGCTTCAGCCGGCGCTAAATTGACGCTGACTTCATAAACAGACGAAGCCGACCTGTAAACAGGACGATCATAAACACCAACAGCAGTCGCAGTTACCGCCGTAGAGATTCTCGAGAATGGCGATTTAGCGGCGAGATTGGGGATTGAGAGAGAATGCAGGTGGTTAAACCTAGAAACCCGACCCGAACGATCGTCAAGGAAACCAGTAGCTGGTTGGCGAAATAAACGACCTCCGGCTCCACCGTAACGAATCCCCAAACAAACCATCGTTAACAGCCGTCTACGGCGGTGCTACAGATGAAATAGACGATTAAATAAAACCTTTTTTGCTTTTATACTGGAGGAAGAAATCCGGAGGACACCAAAAACGAACTGCGTGGACATATATCGACCGTTAGATCGAGCAGGTGGATCACTTGAGTTTGCCGCGGGTGTGCGCGTGCCACTATTCAACTGACATGTGTTACCCCCTGTTTTGCTGACATGGCATTTCCAGATGGAATATATGTGTTTATCTTATAATTAAATTATTAATTTTTTAAAAAGGTTTTACGTAGACGTATGATTCCGGTCCCTCTACAATTAAAGAAGTATTCAATATTTCCACCTATATAATTTTCTTTCATCGACCTATGAACAATACATTGTATAAATGAGTCATTAAAATGGTTCTCTTTTTTTTCTTCAATAACTTCGATATAGATTAAGCTATCTGTGTTTGTTATATATATATATATATATATATATAGAGAGAGAGAGAGAGATTGATTCAAATGTTAAAACAAGATTATTGTGTTAACTTTGTTAACTAATTTTGGTCATTGATTCTTACAATAAACAGTTGTGATTAATCATGATAACAAATTAATCTTTTAAATTTACAATTTCAAAAAACATACATGAACAAAGGGAAAAATAGTATTTAGGTAATTTTTTTTTTATGTAACTCTCATATCATTAATTGGGAGTTACAAAATCAAAAAATTTCATTATTTTTGTTAATATAAGAACCATATGAAAACATACACATACACATACACACACACACACACACACATATATATATATATATATCATTGTGTCAAATACGAACAAAAATTTATAAATACATGAACTTAGACTGCATAGCATTTATGAACATAATAAGAATAGCTGTTACACGAAAGAAAATAAAAAAAAAATATGAACAAGTATGAACAACTTGTAAACAATAGTTTCGTCATTATGAACACATTTAGAAGCGAGCCAATGTTGAAATATGCAGCTAGTATAGATATGAACACTTGTGAACAATAGTTCCTTCATTATAAACACATTCAGGAGCGAGCCAATGTTGAGATATGCAGCTAGTGTACATATAAACACAATATGAACAACTTGTGAACAATAGTTCATTTATTATGAACACATTCAAAAGCGAGTCAATGTTGAGATATGTAACTAGTGTACATATGAACACTTGTGAACAATAATTTCTTCATTATGAACAATGAGTTTATCCATAATAGCTTGAACGATACCGAAAACTTTACTACCGAGTCTCTTCTACCAATCACAAATTCAAAAACATTATAGATAGAAAAATCAATATTATAAAAAAACAAGATCAATAATAAATTACCAAAAATTATGAATTCAATATTAGATGTCTTGATCCATGTCCCTACTAGAACATATATGAACAAACATGAATGTATATGAACACTAGTTGCAGTCTATGGAAGCATCACAAGCAGTTGATGGAGCTGAATGGTTATTAGAGTTGGATTGCATAACACATTAAGTTGACGATGAACTCATTCCATTTGAACATATGAATTGGGCTTGTAGTAATAATTAAAGAAAAGCTATCATCACAATATGAACTATAAAAAACACAAAAACGTCATAATCAACATAATTTCGATTAAAACGAATACAATAACATATTAATCCATTATCAATACAAATGCATTGATTATTGTCTTCACTTCCGGAACTCAAAGTCCGATTGTCATCGTAAACCATTTTAATCTTCTCATTGTTGTCGAGTTGTTTTCCAATGGGTTTATCCATATTAGCTTGAACGATATCGAAAACTTTACTATCGGGTCTCCTTTAACAATCACAAATTCAAGGACATTGTAGATAGATAAATCAATATTATAGAAAAACAAAATCAATAGTAAATCAACAACAATTATGGGATTTTTTTTGATTTTGTAACTCTCAATTGATGATATGGGAGTTACATACAAACTAAAATTACATATTTATCCTTGTCATTAAATTATGAGATGAATATGAACCTAGATAAAAGACGGATTTTTATTGGTTGAGTTTGGTTAAGAAAGTTAACACAATAATCTTGGTTAACATTATATATATATATATATATATATATAGATAGATAGATAGATAGATAGAAAGCGAGAAGGTTTTTGTTTAAAATAGTTATTTATCATGTTTTATAATTAGAAGGGACGATTTTGGTAGGAAAAAAAACAGGGTTTTCTACATCTAAAAGCTTAAGAAATAAGCTACATTCTATATTATTATCACCTCACATGACTTCGGCCCTTTTTAAGTTATGCTATGAACTTCCATAAATTTTTATGCATCGTTCATCGGTACTTAAACATGAAACCAACTTAGTTTCTAATACTCATCTCTTTAGATACTTCCAACGGACCCTCGTCAATCGATCAATTCGATAACTCGTAACCATTGGCAAACAACGAATTTGTGGTTTCTTGCACCTTGTTTATCTCTTTTTCCGTTCTTGTTAGGCCACTTTCTTCCTTTCTAGTTTACCTTCCTTTGAGTTTGTAGACGTGGATTGGAAAGGAAAAAGAGTAGCATGACTTGAGTCAACTCAGAAGTTAGTCTTGTGAAGACTTGCCTTTTTGAAGTTAGCGTTCAGAAGCTAACTTTCCGAAGTTAGCCGTAGAGGCTAACTTTATGAACACCATATATGGTCCACTTTTTGAACTTAACCTTCTAACATCAATTGGTCGTGGGTTTCTGAATTTTCATCTTTTGAACAAGATCTAGTACATGCCATTTAGGTTTCAAGGCGCTATCTCTAGACCCCACGAGGGGAAGACCCCATTGACCGCCTTTTTATGGCAATATTAAGTTCAAGTAATCTTACACGATTGTGCACTCCTCCTAACCCTTATACAGGGACGGACCTACAGAGCAGCATACGATGGCTCCTGCTATCACTTCATGGTCTCGTCGTATGAGAAAAAATTTACCTTCCTAAAGGGTTCCACCATGATATTTCATTGAATGCCATTATATTTTTTTGCATCTAAACCATATATAAAAGTTTGTTGCGGTAGAGTTGGTATATGTAGTGTCAATTGATTTGTAATGATTCTGTAAAAAATCTGTATAGCTTTATTTTTTATAATTATATGGTGTCACCACTTGAAAAAATCACGGATCCGCCTCTACGCATATAATAGTTTAACTAAAAACCCGATCGTCTCTTGTAAATCACAACTAAACCAAAATAGTTAATAGCACTAAAATCACCGACAATTACTTCATTCGGTATTTAGACATCCCCATATACATGTTATAATGCATTCGAGTATCTAATCATAATATCATGCTTTGACATCATTCCGACACTCGTTTGGTCATGAACGCCATATTGGCAGACCCCCCATTTTGACTTGACATGAGCTATCGTTTTAATTCAATATCAACTCAATTGTAAATAACATTCATAATTCCCACAAATAAAGATTATATCTAGGATTTGACCTTTGCATACCGTCGATCACTCTCTTGTCTCTCTTAACGGATAAGTGCATAGAGATCGTTCTTAGGGGCTGTTTGGTAGGCTCTTAATGGTTACATTAAGAGCCAATCGCTGAATCGGTCAGAGGTTGCGTGTGTTTGGCAAAAAAAAAAACAACCTCTTAATGGTTACAAACACCTCTTAACCATTTTGCACCTGGTGCTTCACTCAACCATTCAGACACCATTTGTTCCATCTTTACCCCTCCCACCCCTCTCTTCCAGCGTCGCCTTCACCGTCTCCATCCAGAGTTCACGTCGCCTTCCACGAGTTCACGTCGCCTTCCATCTCCGCCTTCACCGTCTCCATCTCCGGCCACCTGCACCGTCTCCATCTCCGGCCACCTGCACCGTCTCCATCTCCGTCTCAAATCATAGAACCCAAAAATCAAATCATAGAACCCTGCACCCCTCTCTTGTTGGTCACCGGAACARTCGATCGAAGCTGGCGACGGAGAGGGATGGCAGAGGCGGAAGGCCTGAGCGGCGGCGACGGAGGGGAAGGCCTGAGCGGCGGCGACGGAGGGGAAGGCCTGAGC